GAGGCAGGATGCCGGGGCCCGAGGGACGGTCAGTGTCCACGGAAGGTGCGCGAGGACGAAGGCCAGGCCGCCCACAGGCCGGCGCTCACAGGAGGGAGGCTGCTGTGCACACGGGTGCTGCGCAGCGTCTAGCAAATTGCTGGTGGGGTTGCGGGTCTTTTCCCTGGCTTTTCTTTTCCAGGCTGCGGGCGTTGCCTGTCTCTGGGGAGCACGGTCAGGAGACTCAGTGCGCAACGTGCAAAATCTCAGTAACACCTTCGTTTTTAGTGTGGCACCCCTGTCCTTACGGAGGCCAGAAACAGCCACCTTTTCCGAAAACGGGCCTGGGGTGCTCTGCGGAAGGGACAGTGGGAGGCTGTCCGAGGCTCTGGATGTTTTGCTTTGAATGGTCTGACTTGCTTGGCTGTTCTCCTTTGAAAGGATCTGCATTGCCCCTGCCCCCCCCCCCGGTCTGGGACCCATTTGCACCCCTACTTTCGGAGGCAGCTGGGTTTTTTGTTGGCCTCGCTGCTGAGAAAACAGATTCGGCTGTTCTGAGACTTCCAAGTTTTCAGCACTTGTTCATCTGTCTTCCAGCTTCCAAAACATTTCGCTGTTTCCCCCATTCCTGTTTTCTTCATCCTGGTGAATACATGCTTAAAACCACGACAACGTCTCTCGCTGTCATTCAGTGGCTTCAGGAGGGGAGCCGGGGTAATCTACGGGCCTGGCCTGCCACCATGCTGAAGTCAGTCCGTGCACTTACAAATGCGCCCCAACCCAGAGCACGCTCGACCAGCTCTCTGAGGACCCCATTCCTTGCAAGTTTGGTCACTGGTTCCTCAGTCCTAGTCAACAAGAAGGGACACTTCAGAGGCGGGACCTCTGGAGGAAAGACCTGCCAGAAGGAGCAGGTTAGCTGCGGGCAGGGGGGACTGAAGAGCCGTGTGAGGAGTGAGTGCAGGCAGGGCTGCGGGCACCTCAGCGGGGACCCCCGCGTCTGACCCTGCCCAGCTGCCCCGTACCGGCTCTGTCAGGCCCGCGGCCAGTCCCCGCTCCCCCAGCGCACGCGGGTTCTGCAGCCCCACGGCTGGCCGAGTGCAGGCCCCAGAGCCAAGCTTTTGAGATGTGAAAACTAGGCCCTACTTTTAACCAGAGCTTTAGGACAGAAAAGCTTCGTCTTCAGCCCTGCCCTGGTGTTTTTTCAACCTTCAGACCAGTGCTGCTCAGAGTCGGCGGCCTGCCCTCCGACCGCCGGCTTTAATCCTAGCTTTTCTTTACTACTTGGTTGTCCTTCTGATTCCTCTAATTAACAAAAAAATTACTCTTGATCAGGGAGTTCCTAATTCCAGTCTGTTTTCACTTTTGAATTTCTTCTTGCTCCGTACGCCGATGGCCCTCTTACTTCTTGGAGTGGTGACAAGGGTCCTGGAGTTGCAGATGTGGATTTGTGTGTGACCTGGGGCAGAAGGCAGTGGGAGGGCTGGGAGGGTGGGCGGCGGGGCAGCCCGTGGACTGTCTGTGTGACACGGAGGCTGCACTGGTGACCACGGGTGTGTCACAGTATTGACTTCCAGTAGTAGTATCACTGGCAGTACTGAGACCGTGTTCTGCTCCAGGCAGGCCCTCCGCACCAAGCCCCAGGGCAGCCGGGCAGCCCTGCTTTGTCATCTTCATTTTCAGCCCAGAAGACTGCAGTACAGAGAGTTCCAGTGCCATGGCCGAGGCCACACAGCTCTGCGTGGCCAGGCCTGACCTCGACCGCCGGCACCAGTGCTGCGTCCACTCCACTCTCCCTGCTGGAGCCGCTGTCCCCCGCCTTCCCGCCGCTCCCCACAGCCCCTGAGGTCCCCACCTCCCGCCCCTCCGCTGTCCTGTCCCCACGTCCCCGAGTCCCCCAGAAATGTTTACCTGTCATTACCTCTGCTTGTCCCCCTCCATCCAGTGGGTTGGCCCACAATTCACCATTGCTTTTGCGGGGGCGCTTCCCACAGTTCACAAGCCGGTTCTGGAGTGCCTCCTGGTGGTCCGTGCGGCCCAGAACTGTGTTCTGGATCCTACAAAACCCACGACACAGCCACTTCCAACCTCCCTG